TCCTGGCCCCAGCCGGCGCAGTGCACTGCAGGGAGGAGCAGAGAGGCGAGGCCGGGGAGCTCCACCGCCGACGTCCCGGGACGGGGCAGGGGCAGGGGCAGAGGCAGCGACAGCCCCAGGGGCAGGGGCGGGCGCAGCAGGGCCCGTGGGCAGGACCGCGGGCCCTGGCGGGGCTGCCTGGCACCGTCCCGGCCCTTGGAGGGACGCGCCTTTGGGCTGCGCGAGAGCCTGCGCTGCGACTGCGGCCGCTTGCCCCCGAGCGCTGGGCAGAGGCGGCGGAGCCGTCCCGGCTCCCTGGGGCCGGGCGAGGAGCCGCAGCGGACCCTGAGCCGGGTAAGAGAGAAACTCGCTCCCCTCCGGCTCAGCGCCGCCCTGAGCCCCAGGATCCCCCGCCCGCGCAAGGCAGCAGCCCAGCTCCCACCTCCGGCCGAGGACCAGCTTCTCCCCGCGCCGGGGGAAGCCGCTATCCCCCGCCGGGCAGAGCGCACGAGCCTGGACTGACTGGGTGTCATTGCTGCCCCCGGGCCAGGAGGGGAGGGGAGGGGAGGTCGTATCTCCGCTTGAACTTGGGGGAATCCAGACAGACAGCGAAGATGTGGGGCGGGGGGTAGTGAAATCCTCTGCTAGTTCCGAGCAGCGACCCGGACAGGGAGGTCTCCTGAGTTGCTGGAGAAGGGCGGAAAGTCAGGACGGCCGAAAAGCACGGACTGTGGAGGAGTCCCGCGCAGAGCAGCCGCGGCCACGTCTCGTATCTGAAACCTTCACAGGCTTCTAAAGAGTCCTGGAAAGTTTGAAAAGCCAACTGCGTGCAATACCCGTTTCTCTTTAAAAAAGAATGGCCTGAAACTCTGCAGCAGGTCATCCAGGGAAGTTCAGATTTTCCTCAAGGTCCTGAATCACTCAATAATGGCATTTTATTCTTACCTTTGATGGTGAAGTACGAATTCCTCCGGATGGATGGGCAGAAAGTTAGAAGAATTGGTGATTTGGGACTTCAGTACTTCAGGGGAAAAATGCCAATGGTTTAGGCAGGATCTTCCCTGTCTGATTCGTCACTATTATTATATCTGATGATGTGGATGGATGGAGAGATTCAATCCAAGCCCATTAATGAGCTATTTTATAAACACCGCTGTCTGAAGATCTTCATTTACATTTTGTCAATGATCCTTTCCGTAAGATCAGAGACGAGTGGCAACAGCATAATTACAGGACTTTAGGAAACTAAGCTCCTATAAGAGAACACAACTGGATTGTTAATCGATTAATATTTTATTCAGTGTAAATATTTTATAAAGTTTTTAGGGAAACTATTGATTCTAAATTATTTAACCAGTCACAGGGGGCATTTGAATAATGCATACGATTAACTACATTTTTATATATATATATATATATATATATATATATATATATATCTCATTTGCTTTTTTT